CTTTTATTTACTTACTTTACTACAATTTTTTTTTCTGCAACTTTCAATTAATGTTTATAGAGTTCAGCATGAAGATTGACAACATTAGTACTAGAAGTGAGATTTTAATTGAAGGTGTCCCTGAACCTTCAACTTCACAAATATGGCAGTTTGTACCGCTTTAAATTTGCCATTTAAAAAAAAAAGCTTCTGCTCAAATTAACACAAAATCTGTAACTCGGGAATTTTCATCAGCTGGGTTCTAACCATTGGTAACATCTTCAGAAAAAATTGAACTGATATCTGACTCCACCAAAAAAAACGCATCTACAGGCACACTTTAAATGATACAAATGGGCAAAAGTGGGCATCTGATTTGTTTGCTTCCTGTATGTTCATGATTTGGTTTTCATTGATTCTCCAAAGAGTCTGGGATGCCTTGCTGTGCATTAATCTTCCAGAATGACACACAGGACAAAATATCAGAAGCACATTCTTGGAGACATATTCTGTTAGGAGAAGATACAAACGCATAAAAATAGCTTTTAAAAGGAGGAACACCCCAGTTTGACATATATAAACATCCTCTATTGTTGATACTCTGTGGAAACAGTCCCCTCTGATATTGAAAAGGCTTTAACACTATATCTTATCTCAGGAATGTATTTACTATAGTCAAGGCTTTATGCACCAATGCCAAATATTTCTCGGCAAACCTTCTCATATCCCTTCTATGCATTCTCCCAACGCCACACTCAACAAGAACAGTAAATCACAAGAATATTTGACATTCCTACCTTTACCTCCCAGTTATTTTAAGCCTTGTGCAGTAAAACATACTTGCAAAGAACTATGGGATCACATTAAAGCATATTTACATTCTCATCAACTCCCCCACTCAAGGCACATCTGAAGTCTGTAAACCCTGGCTTTATGGCACTGGGTGGACAGCAAATGCGTGCTGTTAACCCAACCAGCTGTGAAGAGCAACAGCCATACAGAGGAAAAGATCAGCTATCAGGCAGGCAACAGCAAATAACTGTCCCTTGGCAAAGCTGCAGTAATGACCTCCAACTAGAATAAAGAGGGCATGACAGCTAACCACAATGCTAATGATATTCCCTTTTTCAGCTCTAAAGAAAAGAAAAGGTTCTTTTCTCTGCAGGATTAGAGGTATAACAGTACGGTCAGAAGTGGGGCTGGTTTAATGAAGAAGCCTGAGCGAGTCCCTCCTGCTGTCTCAATCATTCCTAAAGCTGTTTAAGTTGCTGCTGTTTTTCTATCAATAAATCTTTCCAAGAGGAAGAGTAATCCATCAGATTTATAACCAGAACAAATATGTTTGATGTCTAATTTAAATGCAGTTAAGACTCCTAACAAAAATATCCAAGAATAGCCCTTTACTTTAGCACCAAATCATCAAAGAACCAATCAAGCTCTGACTTTATCAGCCACCTGTGTCGAGAACAAGGTATTTTCTTACAACTATTACTCTGAGCATGCTAGACGATGTGGAGGGGAGCACAATCCCATCAACTGACATGAAAAAAAAAAATCTTCTAAAATTCTTGCTGGTGGTTTTGCACATTTTATGATTTTGTTTGGTTCAAATGTGTCTTCTTTTTAGCACAAAATGGAGCCTTCCTCCATGAGTGTTTTCATGGAAACTAAAGGCCTAATGTAATATTCTATGTTTTAGTCCTAATCCATTATTAGAAGAAAGGTTTTAAAACTCCTATAAACAAACATTCTAAGCATGTGAACTAAGTCATACTGGCGAGCTGAACATTTATCTGGACAAATAGGAGAGCCTCTGGATACAGTGATGTTCTGGCATGAATTGTTCTTTGATCATAATGAATTTTATGACAAATCCACTAAATAACTGTCTTTCTAATCATATCAAGCAAGTTTAGCAGTCAGAGCATTTTTTGAGTTCAAGGTCAAACTTTGTATGAAGGATTTGGATATGGGTGCATTTGTCTTAAATTCTGTCTGTCTGTCTATCTATTATTTTCACAAAATGCATATTAGTTTATTTCACTAAATGCATTCCCTGTTATTTAGAAACCTGCTATAGCAGGATGTTGAATTTCCTGCATGTTTTTTCATTAGAATGGGGTTCCCAAAGTGGGGTCAGGACCACTGATCTCTATTTATTCACTGGATTGCTGATTGCCCGAAAAAAGTGAAGCCACAAGTCGCCATATTAGTACTCCCCACTCCCACGGAGATGCGTAAGTAAAAATAGTAGTTAGTAGTAGTACTAACCAAGAAAATCTATATATACATCGATGTATCCCATACTATAGTATTTAGCATATCATTAGTCTGGATATCTTGGTCCGACTCAAAGACATTGACAGAGTTAAGGCCAATTTATGCTTCTGACGCATAGCCTCTGCAACCGTCAAATCTGTCTCTGAAAAAAAATCCTGACCATGTGTCAGATGGTCGCCAAACCCGCGTAGAACTCAACTGGAAGTGCGCAGACAAAAAGCAGCTGTGATTGGTCCTTGGTATGCCTTTCCGGCTGTATGCGGGGTCGTCCTTCTCGATTCTGAGCCAGGGCGCGCCATTTTTAAAAACCGAGGAACAACTACAATAGGCAACTACGACAATGATTACTCGAAGAGGTTCGGAAGTACAACCACTTGTACGATGCCTCAGACAAATTATATAAAGATGCAAAGGTCTCTGCCAACTCCTGGAGGGAGATCAGCCAGAACCTGTTCCTCTTTGATTTCTAACAACTCTAGATCCATCTCCCTGACCGTGATATCTTGCAGACGCGCCATTGTTGTTTTGGAAGATAAGGACTCCCACCGGTGACGCCAAAGTCCTTGTGACCATCCGCCAAAGGTCTCGCGAGTTCTCGAATAGGCTAACCCTTGTGCTTTGGCAGGAAACTGCTGTGCGTCCCTAGAAATTCCAGACTGATGGTGCAGAAGCATACCAGCAAAATTGGTTTGCGACCAGACGCAAGTGACATTTGATTACAGTTATTGATATTTGATGCAGAAGTCTAATCTGTCCTTTAGTCATTGACATTGTGTCTAACGTTAGAAAATAAAAGCAAAGTAAATAGAAAGTAACTGATTGCGAACTGTCAATGTAGTAATTCTTTACGTAGTTGTTTTTGCAATGTGGTGTTTTTCATTTGAAAAAGTCATGTGCTGAAATATATTGCATGTTACATTGATGGGAAAAAAACAACTCAAAAATGTTTAAAGGCTAATGCAGAGAGATAGCATACTGCAGCATTATCAGACATGTACTTGCAATTTAGTCTTGATGTAAAATCTTGAAATCTTATGTTATATGTTATTACCATAACAATGAAATACAATAAAGTATATTACATTTACATCATCAACTTTTGGAACATCTGTATTATGATGCTCAATTAACACAGTAATTCTATTGTGATGGATTTGTATGATATGTTATATTACATGATTTATAGACTTCCTACTGACTATGCAATGGGATGAGTCTATTTTTTATTATAAGTTAGAGTAATCTACTTATGCTATGAAACAGTAAGAGTGTTTCAAAGTGAAGACTTTATCTTTAATGTAAAAGTCTTAAATCCCCCTGAAAATGAGAATATCGTCATTGTTCGATACTGTAAGACACATTATGTTTACATTGCGACCGGTCTAACTAGGGAGGACCAATATGGTGGCCGGTGGCTTCACTTAAACCCTGTACTACCAACGTGCAATCAACAATCCCGTGAATAAATAGAGATCAGTTTTTAGGACCCACTGGGGGTCACAAGACACCAAAGTTGGGGGTTGCAAGTTTTTTTTTTGACAACCATGGTGAGGTGATCTCTGAGATATATATTATATTAAATGACATAAATGTGAATGAAATAAAGAGAAGTTGCATTTATCTGTTTATCCAACACATAATTCAAATATTACATATGCCGTGAAAATGCAAAATGCACATATTTACACATCCCATTATATATTCTAAAATATGTTTTTAATAATAAATTAAATATTTCAATGTAGCGCTGCAGTATGGCCAGTTTGTAACAGTGTTGTCCATCAGAAAGTAGGTTCTGGATTTGAATCTAAGCCCAGCGTCTTTTTGCATGGAGGTCGCATGTTCTCCCTGTGCATGCAATGGTTCTCTCCCGGTACCCCAGCTTCCTGCCACAGGTCAAAAACATGAGTGTTAGGCTGGAGAGCAGCTCTAAATTAAATCCTTAGGTGTGAGGGTGTTAGTTAATGTGCACGGTTTTGTGTTTCTGTGTTGGCCTGCGATGGACTGGCGACCTATCCAGGGTGTACCCCGCCTTTCACCTTAAGAATGCTGGAGATAGAAACCAGCCCCACCGCGACTCTGTTGGATGAAGTTGGAGGAGATGAATTTATGAATATTTCAGTGTAGTTTTTTAATAATCAGTATATGAGTTTAATTACATAATTTTTATACATATATTGATAAGTAGGGAGTTTTATGGGTGTTTATCAGTAGGTTACATTGTTATTATTGGGGGTCACAGGCTGAAATGTTTGGGAAACCGTAGAAGATCCCCTTCCTTTGAACACCCCCACCACCCCAATGAAGCCCATGGTAATTCACACTTTACTGGTGATCAATATAGAAACAATTTCATCTAATGTTTATGCAACGTTGTTTGTATTTATACCCTAGTTAGGTATGATCAGGTTTTTCTAATTATTCGTTAAAAGAATGTTGGTTCTGTTGAAAAGTATTTTCAAATTAGATAAATTTGAGGTGTCAAAACAGGACTGCTGCTTTTTTAAGATTCTTACTGTGAACAACATAAGTGGTGGGGAGATTTTTAAAGAGGTCAACATGGAAAAAAGCACAAGACAATGTTTTCTTAACAACTCCCTGACTAAACTTATCTTTTTTCTTCTGCTCATGGTGCCTCCCATGCTTTATCACCCCATGTTGCTCTTATCAGAAACCACCACAGTGTGAAAATGCTGATTAATACCAAAACAATACATTAATAATAATAATTCGACGCTTACCTTTTTCTTTGAAGCCTCAGACTTTTTGGACATATTTCTTAATTTTTTGTGCAAGTGATTAATCACCTGTAAACAAAAAAAAATAAAAATAAATAAGACAATAGATATAGTTTTGGTTGATCAGTAGCAATGCATACAGAGACTAACCCGAGCAGCTCTCTTCACTACAAAAAATGTGAATCTGAATGAGATATTTTTTCTTAATTTAAGTGCATTTTTTCTTGAATTGAGGAGATAAATGAGACACAATGCCAATGGAATAATATAATTTACATTGAAAATAAGAAAAAAAACAATTGCATTGTCTTATTTCCAGTGCATATATCCAAGTTTCTTATTTTAACTCATTCCACTGGCAAATCATCTTATTTACCTCCTCAAATTAAGGGTAAATATACTTGACCTAAGACATATTTGCATATTTCTAGGTCATTTTTGCAGTGTTTACCTTTGCGTAACAGAAGGAAATGAGGAGAAGAGGCAAGACGTAACCAAAAACAAAAGTGCACACCACGTAGACCTTTTTCTGGCTCTGATCCGGCCACACTTCCCAGCAGAAAGTTTCGTTATTCACTCCATGGAAGAGGTTCTGGTAGTGCATGATGGGTGCTGCCATGGCCAGGGAGAGGATCCAGATCACCACCACGCCGATCAGAGCGTGCCTCGCCACGCGGATGGAGGAGGACTTTCTGGAGTGCACGATGGCGATGTACCGGTCCACGGACATGGCAGAGAGGGTGAAGATGCTCACGAGCATGGACACAGTGAAGAAGTAGTGGATGAATTTGCAGATGAAGGCTCCCAAGACCCAGGTGTTCATCATGTAGATGGTGGACTGGAAGGGGATGCAGAAGAGCAGGTAGGAGAGATCAGCGATGCTCAGGTTGAGGATGAAGATGTTGGTGGTGCTGCGCGGCTTGCCGGGCTTACTCCGGGCGAGCACGGTGATCACCATGGAGTTACCCAGCACGCCCAGTGTGAAGATCAGCAAAAACACCAGCAGCGTGATGAAGTTATCCGTGCCGATCCCGAATAAACGTTTATTATCTCCATCCTCTTCCAGGTCGGTGAGGTTCCACTGCTCTCCAAGGAGCCACACGGGCTCTGACAAGTTCATGATCTGTTTTTTTCCTTCCTTCACACCACCGGCTCCAGGCGCGTCTCCATGAGCGCTCCTGCTGGGTTTCACTCAAGGTTTTCCACTTTATATCAAACCCACCGCTTTACTTTTGAACATCACTTTAAATCTATGAGGTTAGAAATCAATATTCCACAGCTGAACAGCTTTCTGTGCGGCATCAACTCTCTGCTGCCAGCGGCGGCACCGTGGAGCGTCTCCGTCTTCTGTTGCGCATCAGACGCGTCTGCGCTCCTCAGCATCTGGACCTGGTCTCTCACTTTAAATCAGGGGGGCTGGGCTGGGCCATCAGCGTCAGCACCTATACCACCAACCATGAAATGCTGCGATGAAGGGGGCTGGGGACGGGCACGGGAGGGGGGTCAGGAGAGGAGGGAAAAGAAATGGGCTACTTATTCTAATGCGTTTTATTCCTCCAGTTTCTGAATCCATCCTTGTATAATTTGGATGCCAGAGGTCAAAAAACTTTTCTTTTTTTTCAAGCAAACTGGAGCGTAGGAGCATAAGAGATGTTATGCCTGGAGGGTTAAACAAAAGGAGGATTTTACAATAGCTGTTATTCGAAATTAGCTACAAACGACTTAGAGAAGCTTCACTGCTTGTAAGAAAGAAAAAAAACATTTCCCACAGATTTTCATTAAATAATGCATAACCTACTGTACAGATTAAACTATTAATATGAATTTACCTGACTCACATGAAGAAAAACAGTAGTAGCATTTTCACAACTCACAAAAAATAATTAAATTACTTTAGGCTATTTTTTTCATGCGTCACATATATATATATATATATATTTTTTTATTATTATTTTTTTATTATTATTATTATTTAGATATATATGTATAAGCACCAACACCAACAAAAACACTGTGAAATGTATAGGAAAAAATAAATTCCTGTGGCGCTAAATGAATAATAGAGAAGTTTGTCTTGATGGTTATATCTTGTTCTGTTAATCCACTGATATAGTGACTGTGGTAAAATGGAGGCCTGGTTCTTGATAACTTCATTCTGGTTTAAAACTGTCCACAATTTTATGTCTTACCTGTCTGCAGTATTTCTTTGTCTTCTGGATGCTTTTTGTTCACTGATGTTATCTAGTAAATCTCTCAGAGATTAGATTACACACAGGAGGACTCTGCTTTCTAATCAGGAAAATGACAAAAACTAATTGAAATTAGTGGTATCGGGTTTATGGAGTGAAAAAGAATGAGCACTACATGTGTTTTGGCTTTTATTTATGCAAAGATGCACAAAAAAATCAATAATGTATCTGTTTCCTTTTTCACACACTGAAAAAAGAGGACAGTTGATTCAACTTGAATAATCTGCAACAACTGGAAACAAATAATTGAATTAAATTGATCCTAGTTAATGTATTAGGTATACTACTTGAGCACTTTAAGTTAAGTCTATTAAAGAAAGTGTTATTGTCAAATATCGGGAACAGTTTTGCACCAATTAATATATATGAAGCATGTTTGCCGTCTTTTGACACTTAACAGGGAATATTGGTTTTCTCCTTAAAGTGGAGCTGTGTGTTGTTATTGCAATAGGCATAGTTAGTGTGAGGGATTGCCTTGGAGTCAATGAGTCGATGCAATCAACTGGTTTTCCTTAGATAGAAAATTTCTCTAACTGGTTTAATTGTCTCTGTAAAGTGCCTTGAGATGTTTACTGGCATGATATAAATAAACTGAATTGAATTTGAAATGGTCAGCATTATTCTACCTTATTGAGTCAGGGAGGTTTCCTGATTTAAAAAAAATGGGGAAAGTGTTTTTATAGATAAGTCATTACATGAAACATCTCAAACCTCATCGGTTACCATGGATGTCTATCACTAAATTACATGGGTGAAACCATACATAATGTGAAGCTTAACGCTGTTGAAGCTCAGAATATTATGAAGACCACTCATTTTTTCCCCCCTTATTAAATGGTGATCATTTTGGTCCAACTTCATTTAAATTATGGAAATTTTGCCATTTGTCATGCCTGCTTTCTTAGTAACCAATTATTAGCTTGGAGAACTGTCACAAATATAATTCTAATAAGGACCACATTTTCAATACTCACATATTCTTAACAAAGAAACAACAGTTTTCTAAATCGTACAATTTACTCAGAACCCAATTTTAGACATAAAATGTGAAGCTCCAATCAGAACTTTTAATCTACTAAAGACAAAACTAAAGACATGATCAACATTCAGTCAACATTACCAGTATGGAAAGATGGAATCATATAAATCATCTGTCCTCTAATTTTATGCCAAAGTCTGTAAAACATTAATACTTGAAAGGCTGTTAGAAGTAGGCACCAGCCACCTGGACCCCAAAGAACAAGTGGTAGAAGATGAAACAGGGTATTTGAAGTTCTAGTCACATTAACCCTCTTTTAAAAACATTGGGTGGGTTTTCTGGTAAAAAAAAAAAAAAAAAAAAAAAAGATAAATAAATGTAATAAGAGCATTGTGTGTTAGACTTCTGCTGCAGCATAAACGGTCTTTAAATAAAATTTAGCTTTAAAATATCCTTTGTTTATACACAAAAACTGTGCGTTATTTATCCACAGGTGCAACAGCTTGTTCTGCATAAAGGAACAGCATCTTATAAAAGTATTTTAGAAAAAAAACAAAAAAAAAACAAGTCCAATAATGAAAATGCATATCGAAATCTCAGCAATAAAAATCCTTCTGGGTCAGAGCTCAAAACAGGAGGATGCAGTACTTTGAGCCAGACAATACAGTTAGATTTCTCAGAATGTTTTATTAATAACAGAATCGGGTGTCTCAGGCAGAATCTCTGGGGGTGGAGACAGCAGGTTAGTCACCACGTCTTTCTGGAAGTGGATGATCACAAACAAGTGAATTACTAACCTGGTTTTATAGTTCAGTTTGTGTCCAGATGATGAGGATGTTCCTCTCTAGCTCTTTAATTCAAGCAAAACAAATAAAAAATCTGAACTTAAGGAGACATCTCGTGCTGCACATGTTGCATGAGGCTTTTTTGGAAGACTTTAAATGTGAAGTGTAGAGACTTTTGATATACAAGGTTAAAAGCATATATTAAACTCATAAGTCAATCTGAAGATACTGAAGTCACTTCATGATACACCTCTACTCCCTCAGTTATGATGCCTATGTCTTCTGGAGGTCCTTTTAATCTCTCTCTTTCCTTCCAAATAACAAACACTGCCATGGTGAATGTCCTTAGCTCCGTTTCAGCACCATCCACACTGTAGTGAGATAAGCCATGTGTTACAACTTAAATACTGTAACCTATCCTTGATTACAGAATTCTACAGTAAAAGCTAATGAATGCAAGAATCAAGTTAAAGATTATTGCGATCCCCCCCAGATGTCCCGGGTTGGCCCCTCCTGGGATCCTTTGCTCTTGGGGTCCCTTTGGGCGTCTGGGGCTTTGGGTCCCCCGGCGCTCGCCTCGGTGCTCTGGAGGGGCACGTATTCAGCTCTTCACAACCTATTAAGCATTTTTCCTTTGGATAAACTTAACATGCACAAGTGCACTGTCACAAACAACTACAGGTGCTTCGTTCCAGGTACTTAGAGATTGACTTCCATACAGAAAGCCCATATTCTTATCTTTAGCTACCACAGTATACATATCAGATAAAATAATACTAATTATACTTCAGCGATAGTATCAAGGTGTTACTTTATTGTATCTCTTATTGTCATGATCTTGGCGCTGATGGTTTGGTTTTTTTCCTTTGCTCCTTGCTCCCCTGTCTAATTGGTTCTGCGGCTGATTATCGCCGATCATTTCCACCTGGTCCCTCTACTATTTAGGTTGTTTGCCTCCCATCAGCTCCAGGTTATTCATGTGTTTTTGTGAGACGTTCCCTAGCATTCTGTAGTCTGTCTGTTTTCCTGATTTTGACCAGTGTCTGCCTTGAGAATTTCGAGTTTTTGCCTTGCCCCTGTCTGCTCTGTTTGTCCTTTCTGATCTTTGATTCTACCGGCTTCTGAACCTGGAACTGTCTTCTGACTTCGGCCTTGGATTTCCCTCCTGGACTCTGTTGCTGCTCGGCGTCGGCTGGCGCCCGCTCCGCTCACTCTCTAGGACCTCTGGGGGCGTCGCCCGCCGCAACTGCGGTCAAACCTCCCTCCTGGATTCTGCTGTGTTCTCCGCGAACGGACTGAACTTTGAATCAAAATCCGCCCCGCGCACCTGTTTTATTTAATAAACGCATTGAACTTTCCCACTTGTTTCTCACTTGTTGAGTGAACAGCCAATTAAGGTGATAATGGAAAAAATAGTTTTCAGCCTTTTGATTCCATAATCTATTGCTTTCCATCACTAGCTGCTATGTACCATATTTACTGTAACTGCTTAAAATTTTGTTATTTTCTTAGTTTATATGACAACTTGCATATTTGCTGCTGAAGATTCTCAGTCATCCAGGTCAAAGTCATTCCAAAAAAGTTATAAAAAAATACTATATAAAGCTTCAACACTAATTCTGACATTTTGAATTGAAAAAGCTTCCTGGATGGGAAGCGAAATGTCTCCAACTTTTTTTTTGCTTTAACCCCCATAAGGATGGTGTTGTGTTATTTAAGTTTCCTAAGGACCCTACGCTGCTTTCAAAGTGGGTGAAGCAGTTCAGACAAGATCGGGAGAAGTTGGAGCACTCCCTGGCATCTATTCTGTGCTTTAAATATTTTGGGATATCTTTGTTTTTGTTTGTTTTTTTGTTCTCTCATTGAAAGTCGCTTGTTTGTTCAGTGAAACCCTTACATGAGCAGCTGCAAACAGCAATACCTACAGAACACCCCTGAGGGAGTGGGAGTAAAATTAGCAGGTATAAGAGCCAGACATGGACCTATTGTTATTAAGAACCTACCAATGTAGCTCCTAGCTCTTCCACTTCCAGCTCCACATACTGTATGTTAAGTTAAGAAAACATGTAAAAATATTCAGCAAAGAACTGAAGGCTGATGTGGAGCTTACATTGTAGTTTGCTGCTGTCCCAGAAAACGATCCATAGCTAATTATTATTAGCTTTTGTAATAATAAAGTCAGAGGCTAATGGATGATAATATGGTGGCTCTGTGTTCTTTATTAGGTGGTTCATAGGTTTGTGGTTTTAAAAGGAATTTGTGAAGAATTTATGCTATTTTTTTTTATGGGGGTGATGGGCTTTCATATTGTTTTTGGAAACAGACAGATCTAACAACCCTGGGAGTAAAGGACATGTGGAGTTGCTAGCTATACTTTTAAGAA